TCTCCCTCCCTTTGGGAGCCTTGGCCAATGAGAGCGCGAGCCCTGGCCCACGTGACCGGGGCCGCGTGCTGTTGCCGTGTCTGTCCTCTGGCCTGCCCCGGGGCCCCTGGACCCCTGGACCCCTGGACCCCTGGTCTCCTTCACCCCTGAACCTCTGGTCCCTGCACCCCTAGATACCCACCCCGAGGGGCAGTGCACCCGTGTGGGCCTCCAGGTGGCGGGAGGACCTCGGCCTGGAGCACAGAACTGCCGTCGTCGTGCGTGTGTGCCCCAGACCGAAAAGGGAAGTGACCACGTTTATGTGCAAAGAGCCTGCGTCCCCAAGGTGCGTGTTGTCTTTGTTTTTATGTTATGTGTGCATTTATTTCTTGTTTCTTACATAGTTTACTTCTTTTTTCCCCTTGCCTCCCCCTCCTCCCCCTGAGCCGGTCCCCGCCCACGCCCACGCCTCTGGTCTCCGCATTGCTCCGCACGCCTTTCCGCCGTGCAGTAGTGCACTGTCTGCGGCCGAGTGGGCCCTGCCGTATATTAAGGGGGGACGTGCAAACGCGCATTCTTTTGAAGTGAAGATTTTAGTTGAGGCTGTAAAAAGAGCTGTAAAGGGGGCAGTGACTCAGCCTGCACGACAGAGGGACAGAGGGACAGAGGGTAGAGCATAAGCCGACTGCCAGGGGTGCGGCAGGTTGAGCTTCTGGGGTCTTAGAGGCAGCAGGGCAGGGCAGGAGCTGCAGAGAGCGTATTCCAAGGCCCGCCTCCTCTCACGTCCGTCTCTGGGTTCCCTACTGGCCTTTCAGTTCTATGCTGAGACTGAGGGATCTTTGTCCCCCTTTCCCACTGGATCGTGGGGAGGACCTTGTGCATGTGACGGAAGGCGTCCTCCCATGCCGGCACTGCCTGGGGCAGAAGGGCCTCAGTGCGCAGCGAATGGATGTAAGGGCCCTCTACTGCTGACTGCAAAAATGTTCAGATTTATCCCTGTTCTCCCGTCGTTTTTGACACTGAGTAGGGACCCCCTAAAAAGGGCTGGGCCCTCAGTTTTTCCTTCTGTAGAGAAAAATATGAAATTTCCCCAAACCAAAAATTCATAAGGGCTGAACTAATAGTAAAATGTCTAAGGGGCTTAGAATGCAAAGTTCATTTACATTTTTTTAAATTGTTTCTTTTCTTACAAGGTAAGTCTGTGCATGCTGTTTAACATTGCAGTGGACGCCCTGCAGAGCACTCTCCATCTCTCTCCCTGATCGTTTTCTCTGTTGCATTTAGCATCTCTGTGTCTCCACATCCTAGTTTAGCTATTTACACTTCCTGCACATGTCTCTTGGACATAAGCTCCGTGAGGACAGGGACGTTGTCTGCTTTGCTCACTGTTATGTCCTGGACTGAGAAATCGGAAAGCAGTAGTTCTCACTGGTGAAGGCGGACTCGAGGAATGAGGCGGTGACTGGAGACAGGACGTGTTGGTTTTCTAGGACGGCCACAGCACCGCACCACAGAGGGGCAGTTCCAACAGCAGAGACTTCTCACGGCCCTGGAAGCTAGGCGTCCAGGGTCAAGGTGTCAGCCGGCCATTTCTTCTGCGGCACTCCTCCTGGCTTTGAGGTGCCTCCCTTTCTGCTGTGGGCACACCCGGTCTTTCTCTGCACACTCATCTCTCCTGTTTTTCGTCTGTGTCCAAGTTTCCTCTTTAAGAACACCAGTCAGATGGGGTGAGGCAACGCTGATGGCCTCGCTTTAACTTAGTCACCCGTAAGGGCCCTGTCTTCAAATATAGCCACATTTGGAGGTGCGGGAGGTTAGCACTTCAAAGTGAATTTGGGGGGACATAATTCAGCTCCTAACGAGAAGCATGGAAGACACCCACCCGACCAGTGGGGCCAGATTAGGGAGCGGTGAAACATGCCAGTTACAGGACCCTCATGACGCGGACCTCTCCACCGCTGCTGTGACAGGTCATGACGCACCTGGAACAAGGGCTGTCCCAGAGCCTGACACGGAGCAGGCATTTGGCAAGTTTCTTTCGAACAGATACGATTCTGTCTCTGCCAGCCTATAGCAGCCCGAAGATGGCTTTTCCTTTGTCTTTCCTTCCTCTCTT